TTGCCGAGAATAATCGTATTAATAGAGATGATAGCTTACAAATGGGTAGATTGGCTGATCATGCTCAAATGGTTGAAGCACAAGCATTAAAAGCTGGAAATATTATTGGATATAATTCTGCTGCTGGAGGACGAAGTTATAGAATACTTAATGGACAAGAAGCAATAAGTGGCAATAAGCTCAGGGCTATGATGCATGTTGCTCAGTAATAATAATAATCATTTTAATGATGATGATGATGATGATCTTCTTTAGAGCCAATAGTGGATCATTAATTGACGATATTGCTGCTGCTAAAGGAGTATCTACTACAAGGATAGCAAACGTAATGGATGCAGTATCATCATATATGATACTAATCAAGAGCTTTATGGATGAGGTACTATCATGTAGTCCTTATTATAAGCATAATCATCAGTGATATTAGTAGTAGTAGTATTGATTATGTTGTTGTTGGTGTTATTGGTAGATGAAAGCTGAACTAGGATCGGTAAAAGGTCGATTATCAGATCTACAGGGAGAATATGAGGATAAGATCAATACTAATACCAAAGAATGTAATAATAATAATAATCAACAACAACAACAACCTTATCATGTACTATCGCATGGTATCAATTCCATAATAATAATCATTATTATTATGATATAATTCCATGTATAAGAATATCATGAGACTTCTTGACAGATATGAAACCTGCTCTTATGGCTTTACAGGCGATCTCACAGTTCGACAGGTGATAATGGAGATTCATCATAATCATTATAACAATAATAATCATGAGTATTCTTCAGCTTCCAACGTGAGAATAAACCTCTACAGGATGTATTCCGTAATAAGGCACGAGAGATGATGGATAATGTCAAAGGGAGTGCTGATAAAGCTGAGTAATAATAAGATATTTCATCATATTCATCATCATAATCATCATTACAGACGGATCGCTAATAGGATAAGTCATCGAATCGATAAGGGTGCTTCAATAATCGAGAATATTCGTCAGAAGGTCCAATCATCATTAGAGAGGTAGTAATAGTAGTATAATCATCATGTTGACTGTTATTATTATTATTACAGACATGTCGGGGAAAAGAAACAGATCTTTGCTAAGGAATTGTTGAAGATCACCACTGAAGAATCCAAGCCTTTGAATGTGATGATCAATACCACATAATAGGATCCTCCTCCTAGCTCGAATAAGTGTTGATTATGATTATTATAATCTTCACTATATGTTGTTATAAAAAACCATGGTATTACCACGAATGTGTGATAATGTGGATCATTAATAATAACATCATCTTGTGTTACTCATTGGCAACAATACTACTACCACTACTACTACTACTACTACCACTACTACTACTACTACTACTACTACTACTACTACTACTACTACTACTACTACTACTACTACCACAACACTATGGAAGAAGTAGAGAATTGATAAACTATACAATGAATAATGCTAGTAAAGCCTATGTGTTGTTGAGGTTACCACTCTACCGTCGTTCCTACTATACAACGACTATGAATAATGCTAGTAAAGCCTATGTGTTGTTGAGGTTACCACTCTACCGTCGTTCCTACTATACAACGACTATGAATAATGCTAGTAAAGCCTATGTGTTGTTGAGGTTACCACTCTACCGTCGTTCCTACTATACAACGACTATGAATAATGCTAGTAAAGCCTATGTGTTGTTGAGGTTACCACTCTACCGTCGTTCCTACTATACAACGACTATGAATAATGCTAGTAAAGCCTATGTGTTGTTGAGGTTACCACTCTACCGTCGTTCCTACTATACAACGACTATGAATAATGCTAGTAAAGCCTATGTGTTGTTGAGGTTACCACTCTAGCGTCGTTCCTACTATACAACGACTATGAATAATGCTAGTAAAGCCTATGTGTTGTTGAGGTTACCACTCTAGCGTCGTTCCTACTATACAACGACTATGAATAATGCTAGTAAAGCCTATGTGTTGTTGAGGTTACCACTCTAGCGTCGTTCCTACTATATGTCTTCTTTGACATATATCCAAAAATAGGAAGAATAGCAAGTTAGTGTGTCAATGATGTAGTGGTGTATCATCATCAATTATTGTCCTAATACTCTATAATCTTCTTCAATAGTAACCTGCAATAGGTCTTATTGACCTAACACTCATCAAGGAAGGCTACGTTTAAGGTGATAACTCTGGCAGTTAACTTTGGCAGCAAATGATAAATAGTA